AAAGCACTTATTCATAAAAATGCTTCTGTAATTTGAAGCAATGTTATAGGTAAAATTTAAGCAAAAAATTATACTATGAATAATAGCTTTTCATGCTTTGAAACAAAGCTAATAGACAAGAGAAGCTTCAAAACCAGAACCTTCTTACTTCTTACTCCATTTCATTCCAATAATAAGTGTGTAGAATAAGCATTTATTCATATAAATGCTTCTGCGCTTTTTTTTTTTTTTTTTTTTTTTTGATTCTTCTCTTAACTTTATGTGTCCATGTCTATGTGTTTCTGTTTTTTTTTTTTTATTTGTTTGCTTTTGCTTTTATTTTATTTTTGTGTCACTGTCAAGGAATTAATAGGCAACTAATTAATAACATGCTTCAAATGGCCGTTTGAAAACTATTCAATCCAATTAACATTTAAAATTATCCTAAGATGCTAGGCAATCGAAAGCAAAACATATTGAAAAAATACTAATAAATTGTCATCTATAGAAAAGTACAAATCATATCTTATTAGCTAAGCATTTAAAAGAAAAAGTTAAAGACTATATATATAATATGAAATTCTTAGGTATGAATGTTCGTACATTTTTAGAGTTTGAACCTCCTCCATTATTGATGATAGCAAACGGTCAAAAACCTTTTTTTTTTTTTTTTACAATTTTCAATATAAAAGATTAGTTTGAATTTATATTATAGTACTGTGGTGATGGTGATATAAATATTTCAATAAGTATTTGTACTTTGAAAAATGATAAGTGGACCAAAAATAGATGGGATCGGATGGAATTCATATTGATATTGGCATATTATTAGAGAAATAAATTCAGATTAAGTACAATAAGTGTACCACAATTTCGATAGTGAATAGTTTCAATCAACACTAAATCAACTTGTAATAGTATAATCTTAGTTTATATCATGTCTCTTTCAAATTATATCTCAAATCTACCTTACAGATTTATATCTCTTTTGTCCTGACTTTTATTTATACTCTAAGGGACCATTTTAACTTTTTTTTTTTTGGTTTTTTTAATACCCATTTAGACTTTGAATTTCCTCTTCAACGTCCTAATTGACCTATTAATCGAAGTAACATGTCATCCTTATAATTTACTTTAAATTTTGTTAACTAACACATCGAAAGGAAGGTTCAAATTTATTTTATCGTTATTATAAAAAAAATAATTATTGATGTAATTAATTGTTGCACACATAAAATTACTTTAAAAAAAAAAATTCCTTCAATTAATGATCAACCATTGCATTAAAAAAAAGCCTAATTATTTTTCTTGTGATTTTATTTATTGATATATGAAAGAGAACACAAATTAAGCCATTCCAGTTTGGAATTTTGTATCCCAAATTTAAAGATATTTAATTTGTTGGATTTTCCTAAAGGAAAAACTCAAAAAAAAAAAAAAAAAAAAAACGTGAAGAATCTTTTAAAGATAACATAAATATCAATAAGATTTGATATTCTCTAAAAACACCAAGCATCTAAATCTTGAAAAGTAAGAAAGATTGGTAACCCATTAAGGAATCAAAACCTCAATTATAAAGGTATAAAAGAATATTTATGAAGAGAATTATAACAAGTTGAATTCAAGAATCCATGTTTATTTATTTTTATAGATTTTGGTTGGTAACATTATCAAGGGTTTGATCCACCAATTCCACCTACCATGAACCCTAATCACCAACTATATTAATTAATTATGAGATTTAAAACAAATCCCACTTGAAATACTAATCTTAGTGTAAACATTTTTTATTTTCAACTTTCATCTCATTGATTATATGAAGAATTAGATTTGCAAATCAAATTTGTAATTGTTAATTAGTATTGTTTAAAAAGTTATAATCATTATGCCTACCATATGTGTCAAGAGATTTCTGGTTTAGTGGGCAAAGATTTAAGGGTTAAGAATTTATTTTGTTCTTAATTCAATATTAACTCTAAAGATTTGTTCATATAAGTTCATTGTTAATTGAACCCTTTTTCAATTCTATATATAAAGAGAAAAAAAATATCATTAATTAATCTTAATATATATATATTACCTTGAGATCATGAAAAATGAAAGACTAGATGCTTCCCTTTAGTTATGATATTTTTAATGTACGGATCAAATGTGAGCATCTAATTGCTTACTTTTAACTGTAGGGTTTGTGAAATGAGAGACTTGAAGTTTACCTTTAATCCGCACATTAAAACTTCAAGACGTCCGGATTAGAAAATGACTATATATATATTGAAAATATATTTTTGTTGAATAACTATTTTCTCCAATTCTAATATAATTATGATCTCATCATCTTGAAGTTGAAGTCAGAAGGTGAGATTTAAATTTAATTTAATAAATTATAATTGGGTCAAATTAATATAAAACTCAAACTTAACTTAAACAATCCTCAATCCTCATACTTTAATCCCTAAATAAATTCCTCTAAAACATATAACTCATTAATTATAATAAACTAGCTACAAACATGACTAGTTATACCTAATATTAATAATTGATTACCCTTAATTCCCGGAAAACAAAACCCTAATCCTCAAATCTTGACTAAATAAATAAAAATAAAAAACCTAATTTACATATATTTGTAGGACACTACCCTGAATTTTAGTGACTTTATCTACCAAATCATTGATACTTAGCCTATCAAAAGTCAATTTATTGTATTTTAATTTAGTGCACACACATGCATGCTAATTTTGAAAAAGAAAAAGAATATATATATATATATATATATATATGAAAATTAATGAAGCCAACTAGATTATAAGGGGCCAAACTATATTATAATTTATTTTCTATAATAAATGGAAAGGAAAAGAAAAATTAAAAAAAATAAGAAAGGATAAGCATTGAAAAAAGTCATTTTAGATAAGTCTTGAAAAAAGTCATATAAATATTTTCTTTTCTCCACAAATATTATGAAATAAGGATAAAAATACTAATAAATATACACATCAAGACCTCCTACAATATTAAATTATTATTTACACTAATAATTGCTATAAAATTTATATTTCATATTAAAAATTTTGCTATTAGTGTTACCTGTTTTACTTTCAATTATACAATAAGACCTCTAAAAATATTGCACATAAAGAAAAAAAAATTAAATATAGTTTACTTATGAACAGTTAGGAAAACAGATTTTTAAATGTATCAATATAATCAATTTTTTGTTTATAAATAATTATAACGTATATATTTAAGACACGTGTAAACAATTCATCTATTATATACAATGATAGAGTCAAAAAATTGTATTTTGAGAGTTTGAACAAATGACAGTCGAAGACAATACACCTATATATATTCCTAATTTCCATTTTTTAAATATCGAAATCTTCATTAATTTAACAATAAATGGGTATTATTAATTATAGGAAAATGTTTATAAATAAGCACTTTTAGAAAATTAAAAAAAACAAAAACACTAAACCAAACACAGCCTAAACATATCAATAAGCCGCACGTTCACATGCTCATCTTATGCCCTTAGAAATTTGGGAGGCTCCATGTGTGAACCGTACACCCAATCTTATTTTGTCTTTTGTTTGGCTCTATGCATCTTTTCTTTGCTCCTTCCACGTGTGATTCTTTCCCTAATTTTCTGCTTTTTATTTATTTAAAAAAAATTAAAAACATAAAATAAAATAAAGAAATGCCTCCACTTTAATTAACCAACTCATTACACTTAAGACCTCCATATGACTAGCATTAACAAGGTTTAATCACAATTAATTATTATTCTTATCATAATGATACGTCCATTTACGACATTTTTACAACCAAAATTTAGTAGTTTTCATAATCTAGTTGACCGATTCAAAAAATATATGAATCGAGTATCTCTGATAAGACGCATGATAATTTAGTCTTCTGATTTATCAAAATATTGTAATTAATCTAAATTTAGTCAAGTTTGATTTATTAATATTTACGATAAGCGTGATTAGGAGACTAATCACTCTCTTTAAATTGAAAACGATTGTCAAAAACAGTAAAAGAGAATAATAAAAGAATAAAAGTAGTGGAGCTATAGCTAGCACTCAACAAATTCTTTTTCTTTATTTAAATAATTATTTCTGAAAATTCTATTATGGAATTAGACTAAATTGAGGTATTAGATTATCGTTAAACAGTTATTGACTAGTTAAATTAAATATATTTAATTTAACTATAATAATTCTCTTCATTTAAAAATCTCCATTTACTATTTTACTATTTACTAAACACACATTATTCAAAATTTAAATACATAATTATTTTTAACATTTAAATACTCAAATCTATTGATTTATTAAAAATATAATTTTCAACTTTTTGAAAATGATATTTTTCCACAAAATATTTTAATAATTACAACAAAAAATTCCATGTATTACTACTCAGGTGGGGTTTGCCCAAACTCGACATGAAATCGAATATAGATTTTCAAATGTAATTTCACTTGAATAAAAGTGAAATTTAAAAATTTTAGTTTTTTTTTTTCCAAACTATATTATTTTACCAAATATTTTTATAATTCCAACACATATTCCATGTAATAATACCATGGTAGCGTTTGCCAAACTCGACCCAATTTGACATGAAATTAAATATAGATTTTGAGACGTAATCTCAATAAAAAATAGGCGAAATTTCGATCTTAACTAGATTTAACATATTTTAGGTTTGAAATCATACCACCTAAATACTTCTTAGATCCAACTCATCCCTACTCTTTTTCGAGTTAAATTCGGTCTTCTAGTTAATTACATAGAAAATGTTATAAATAAAAAATAATATTAAATATTAAATAATTTTTGGAATTTCCAATAATGAAAAGAAATTGTTGAATACAAGTAATCAATGATTATTTCATTTTTTTGTTTTTAACGTACAACACGACCAAAACACAACTTGAAAGCAAAAATACGCGCACACAACACAAATAACAACAAACAAACTATATAACACAAACCATAACGCTCAAACTCATCTCTCTCTCTCTTTCTTCTTCCTCTTCTTCAAAAACCTCTCTCTCTCCTCCTCCCTCCTTTTCTTCTTCTTACACCAATGGACACTACACCACCGCTACCACCACCAACTCCACCACACCCACAACCGCAATCCCTAAACTTCGACAACCTCAAAGCTCTCAAAGTCCTCGGCAAAGGCGCCATGGGAACTGTCTTCCTAGTGCATGACACCACAACCGACCCCTCCGCTCGTTCTCCTTTCGCTCTAAAAGTGGCCGACAAGTTGTCTCTTCATGCAAAGCACGACGCTGATCGTCGAGCCCGTTGGGAAATCCGGGTCCTGACCCGGCTTTCGCATCCGTTTCTTCCCAAGCTGATAGGATCCTTCGAAACTGAGGATTTGCTCGCCTGGGCCGTCCCCTATTGTCCCGGTGGCGACCTTAACGTCCTCCGTTACCGTCAAAACGACCGGGTTTTCTCCCCCGCCGTTATTCGTTTTTACTTGTCGGAGATTATTTGCGCGCTTGAGTATCTTCATAATATGGGAATTGCTTACAGAGATTTAAAGCCTGAAAATGTTTTGGTTCAACAGTCGGGTCACGTGACACTCACGGACTTTGATCTCTCTCGCAACTTGGCGAAAAAAACCACCGTTTCGACGACCACCTTTGAGAAAGGAAGCCATAAGGTTCCAGTTCCGGAGATTCCAAAGAAACATAGAAGAATGTTGACCCGCTGGATCCAAGCTTTGCCCGACAACAAAAAGGGGCTGAAGAAGGCGAAATCGGCCAGAGTTAGCCCGGTTTCTCGGAGGAAACCGAGTTTCGACAACGGCGAACGGTCCAACTCGTTTGTGGGAACGGAAGAGTACGTGTCACCTGAGGTGGTGCGTGGTGATGGACACGAGTTCGCTGTTGATTGGTGGGCTCTGGGTATCTTGACGTACGAGATGCTATATGGCACTACGCCGTTTAAAGGTAAGAATCGGAAGGAAACGTTTCGGAACGTTCTGATGAAGGCGCCGGAGTTCGTAGGGAAACGCACGGACCTGATGGATTTGATCGAAGGGTTGCTGGAGAAGGATCCCATGAAGAGATTGGGATATCAACGAGGCGCGTGTGAGATCAAGGAGCACGTGTTCTTCAAAGGTGTGAGATGGGACCTACTAACGGACGTGTTACGGCCGCCGTTTATCCCATCGAGAGAAGATGGCGAATTGACGGAGAAAGTAACGGGAGGTAGCGGAGGGATCGACATAAGAGAGTATTTTCAGAATTTGAGGGCTCCACCACCGTCAATGCCGCCATCTCCGCTACCGTCACCATCGCCGGAGCCATGCCGGAGAAAAGCTTCTTTCACAGAGTATTGACTGACGCACGTGTGGGATATGACACGTGTAAGGATAGTGTAGGTATTAATACTTATTTTGTGTATATAAAAAAAAAAAAAATTTGAAAAATAAAAAAAATAATGGTAGAACGTGAAAGACGGCGTTAGTGAATATTTAGTCTGAATATAAAAAGCTTCAAATGCTTGCGGCTCGTATTTCAATCTTGTATATGTATTTTTTATTCATTTGGCTAACATTAGCGCCTACGGAGGCGCGTGAATTTCACGCAGCATGATTTCCTCGCCTGGGCGTTGCAAGAAAACGTGAGGAATTGCTTTTTGAGCAAAATTTCATTTAAAATGCAAAGAATGTGAGGGCATGTTTTTAGAAAAATTAATATGTTTTAAAATTAATTAAATCAGTTTAGATGATTTAATCATTTAATTAAATAATAATTTTTCACATTTGTGACACTTAATGTGATGATTAATAATAATAATAATTTATAATAGTAAAAAAACTTTGTGATTGAAGAAAAGGGTTTGGTGGGCTCAAGAATTTAAAATTAACATCATTAATTAAAGATTAAAATAAAAAAAAAATTACAAAGCTAGGTCCGTGAAGAGTGGTATATTTCATTGATCATTTTGTAATAAAAAATAATTTAAAAAATTAAATTAAAGTTTTCACCCCACATGCTCAACTTCATAACCATAATCATATTCATCACTAATTAATTATGTAATTAGATTAATTAAAACACTATAAATAAGAGATTAGATGAATGAGAAAGAAAGTGAGATACATATGATTACAAAGACAATATGGTCTAAAATTACGCCCAAAAATTAAACTTTATAAAACAAACCCACATGACTTTCATCTTTGATGTCCAATTATCATAATTACAACTTTCTTATCACTACTATCTTTCAGAATATATCTCCTACATTCTGTACCAGACTAACCTTTTTATAAACACATGAATATCTCTTGACTTTTCAAGAAACATGTCAAACGTTTTCCCTCGTATTAACTCCATAAAACGTTTTTCTTTTCATCGAGCTTCATATTGTGTGCGGATGTTGAGATGTCACTTGATGTCAATATGTAAATTAGAATATATAATATCTCTACTAATCCAGAATTCCAGATCGAAGAGTGATATAAAATTGATATATTTTCAAAGATCTTAGTCAAAACAAGCTTATACCAAACGTGATACAACAACCCACCATTAAGGCCTCCCACTTAAATCTTGGAAACCAAGGGGATTAAAATCTGATACCGTATGCCTTAATTATACATCCCAACACTTATCTTGTACCACTTGAGCTACTAAAGAGTGGATTCCATTTCAATTATCCTATAATCCAATTCTCCAAACCACATATATAGAAATTTATTAAAGAGTAAAAGTAGCACAATAAAAATAAATAAGCGATATGATGGGAAATGATATATTTTCTAAAATTGAGTAAAGAGATTGTCTAAGTGAAATGTAAATAAGTTTGACAAAATTTTGTCATTATATATATATAATAATAATAATAATAATAATAAAGAAAAAAAGAAAAAGAGCTGGCATCCGTGTGCAAACAAAATCTAAAAGTTTTCCAACTTTAATTTGGAAAACTATTTAAATCTTCCCTTTAACAACAAAAAAGTTTGATAAAATTAGAAGATTAATTACTTTTCACAAGCCGTCCCCACGTCGAGAAATACAATTGGATCTATTAAAATTTTAAATATTTTAATTGACGTAAATAATTTTGGATTATTAACAACATGTTATTCCATTTGTCGGGTAAATTAAAGCCAGCCTAATTGCTATGAAATTTGGCACTGAGTTGACCCCTCACAAACCTAAAATACTAGACACCAACCAAATGGACTTTTTGTCATGTTTATTAGTTCATAGATATCTCTTGGCTCTTTGCAATTTAAACACATTGGCCCCTTCCCAACACCAAACAATAATAAGTTGGTCTCCATATATCTATTTTGTAGAGAGACAGAAATGTAGTATAGGGTGCATGGCCCTTCCATTTCCTCTTTTGACAAACAAAAGGTCCCATTGTTCTTTTGTTTTTAAGCCAGGATTGATCTTTCAATTTCTTCCTCAGGGAAGTCTCATCCCTTTCTTATTAATCTTTCGCCCACCCTGTGTCCCAAATTTTCCTGCTGAAAGGACCACATCATACATTTAAATTACAAATATCTGACCTATGTGGGTCTCTATAGTCAATTGTGATGTAACTATTCACTAAAAATTTAATCTGAATTTTCTACATCACTCACGTAATACGATATTGCACTAGAGAATGACTATGCCTATATATGTTCTCTAACTAAGAGGTGAATCTTTCACCTCATCCATCTGAGCTTTTTATTAACTCTTTTGGATATCGATGAGTTTTAGGAGTGAAGATAAGTGATGGGTTGAGTATTGTTTAAGAAAATGCATGTGCATTGTCTGGTGTATGATTAATTAGCCCTTACTTCCTTTGATTTTTGAGCAATATTAGATGTGTCCCTTCTGTCAATATATATATAAAGACAATATTAGAATCCATTAATTTTCTTGTCAAAGCTCTTCAACTTCATTAATTGAATGCGAGACATAACTCATTATCACATAATGCAAAACACACAAAGAAATAAATTAAAGACACCCTTTCGAAATGAATTTGTCCCCATTTTTTGACCATGACCTAATAATCCAATTTGAATTCCCTTTTCCCAGTCATGGCGTTTTCAGTTAACTTTATATAATGCATGCTCAACATGGCATCTATCTTCAACAATGAAGTATATTGAATTCTTAATTTTATACCTTTATATATATAAACTTCCCTTCTGTTAGTGAAGTACTGAGACTAGCAAACATTAATTTAGGCTTACTCTTTTGAGACTGAATTAACTTGGAGGTCTCAAAGTAACTTTTTAGGTTTCTTTTCTAAAGGTTTGAGCTTTTCTTTTTAATTTGGTCGGTTTCCATTTGCGCAAGTCTTTGAAAAAATCGGCACCAGACCCAGAAACTATATGTATCATCTCTTGCATGCGAACTCTAGCTTGCTCTTTGGATGTGTTTGATTTAGGGAATATTGAATTATTGGAATCTTATATTACTTTGAAGATTACTGGGAATTTATAAGAAAGTGTGTTTGGTTAGTTGGAATAAATTGGTAGGTATGTTATATTAATATATTTGGTTAAGAGGAATAAATTGGTGGGTATATTATTTAAATTACTAAATTGCCCTCTTTTTAAATATTAATATAATATTATTTTTATTATTAATTTTTAAATAATTCTTTTAACCCCTAATATTTCAAATTTAGCTAAAACACCCCAGCTTATATAAAACTTTAATTTATAACAAACTCACCGCCACCACAAACCACCGTCGGAAGTCACTGTGAGCAGCTCGTCGTGGCCGGGAGGCTCCGATATGACCCTTTTTGGCCATATTGATGGCTGAAAAGACCATATCTGGAGCAGATCTGGCCGTAAATGGCCAGATCTATTGTGGCCATTTTCGACCAGATTGATGGGTCTGGCCGCCTTTATCAGCCAGATTTGGGCGAGATCTGGCCGTTAACGGCTACGAATCTGGCCATTAATGGCCATATTTGTTTTGATTGGAATAGATCTGGTTGTTAACAGTCAGATCCATGGCCATTAACGGCTAGATCTCGCTTAGGTCTGGCTGATAAAGGCCAAAGGTTTGGCTGTGGTGAGATTTGGCCGTTAATCGCCAAGGGTCTAGCCGTTAACAGCCAGATCAATTTGGCCGAAAATGACCAGAATAGATCTAGTCATTTTCGACCAGATCTGCTCCCGATATGGCCTTTTCAGCCATCAATATAGCCAGAAACGGTCATATCTGGGCCTCCCGGTCACGGTGGGTTGCTCACGGCGACTCCAGGTGACTTCCGGCGACTTCCCGCGATGGTTGGCGGTGGTTTGGCTAGCGACAGGCGATAGCAGGTGGGTGGGGGTGGGGGTGGTGGCTTGGGTAAGTGAAATTTGTTTTGATTTCAAGGGTATTTTTGTCCAAAAGTTAGTTAATTGGGGTGAAATGGTAAAAGCAAGATTCATGTACATAAATTTAAAAATAAGGGCATTATTGTCCTAAAATTTTATTAATAAGGGATAGAATTGTAACAAAAAAAGATTACCCAAGTAATCTTATAATATTTAAGAAAATGGAGGTAATTAGATTACCTCCAATATTACTAACAGTAACCACTATTGGTATTTGAAGATTATCGGTATCTTATATTACTTGACAACCAAACATGGTAATAAGTAATATAAGATGACTTAACCCCAGTAATCCCACGTAACCCCCAACCAAACGCCCCTTTATAAATTCAACATGGCATCTCTCTTTTACGATGAAGAAGAAATATTCTATTGCATGATGTTGAGTTCTAATTAAGTTGAGACTCTCATCATTTGGTCAAGGCAAAACTCAAAGGTATTAATTTAATGAAAGAGATTTACTAACATTCAAGGACCATTCATAACTATGAGTAGTTTTACCAAGATAATTAGGTTTCTTTTTCAAAGGTAAAAGCCCTTTTTTGAGTCAAGTTCTAAAGCTAATTAAATGTCTTTTGATTTGTGATTCAAAATTAAATTTTAAAGGACTAAAATACGATTCAAATTTTTTAAGTTGTATCTTAATTATATTTTTAACATTTGAATGTCTTTAATATAACATTCAAAAACTGTATTCAGATTGAAAACTATAGAAAACTATGAAAACGACCTTTAATAATTTCTAAATTTACACTAATTTTTAGGATTTTATTTGAAAAATATTTTGAAAATGTTTTGACTCATTTATTCAAAATGCATTTCATAAGATTTGTTGTATCCTTTTTTAAAAACAAAAAACTGTAGTTAATTTTACAATAAATGAACCAAATACAAGTTTTTATGGAAATTAACGAAAAAAGGAATAACAAAGGGAATAGATGTATATGTTTAATTACTGGTTTAGTAACCAATTATGACCCTTAATTCATAATTAGGAAAGGCCGACAAGACCCACTTCTCTGTAGGTAATTTCTTATAAAAGGGTAACAAACAGTGTAAATAATCAATAAAGTACTTAGCAATTAAGCACAATCAGGGCAATATACGATAAAGAGGAAGGGGTATGGGCTATGGAGGGCTGCCAACCGACAAAAGAGAAGGTAAAAGGGTGATTAATACTTAAACCAAAGTTAAGTAGGTTGAAACCACTAATTAATCTAGAAGTGGGCTAGGTTTCATTCA